TGATGTCCTAAATGTTAAAAATATGTTAAATAGAGTAGGACCCAGCACGGAGCCCTGAAAAACACCCGTTCTAAGGCTGTTAAGGATGACTCAACTCCTAGTATCTTTACATAAAATATTCTTTCTGTTAAATACTTATAAGGAGATATATCTAGGAAAATCCAGTAGTCCAAGTATTATGTGTCATCTGTGCCACCTCAGTCACCTTTTCAATGTAATCTAATGCCATTCCAGTTTGTTTAAATTAAAATTGTGGGTGACCTCGGCTATACTTGCAACTCTTATCCAATGATGTTTGCATTTGCATGAAATATGCTCATTTGTTATTTTATTTCAGCCGGTTTCACATTTAAAACATTTTCCTCTGGTTTAATTTTTCTGTTTCATAGACCGGTTCACGCATGAGCTTCCTGTTGGCCGACACCTCCATGGTTGTGACAGTCACCTCCAGAATATCGTCCATACATTTTACCCTTGGTCGGCCTCTCTTCCTTTTACCTTTCATTTTCCCTATCGTCATCTTCTTCTCCAGGGTATCGTGTCTTCTCACTATATGGCCAAATTAGTTTTACCAGTAATATTATTCCCTCGAGTAAGCAGTCTTGCTTTATTTCCTGGAGTATGGCAGGTTTGATCATCTTTGCAGTCCAAGGCATTCTCAGAATTTTTCTCGAACAGCACAGTTCAAAAGCATGTGTCTTCGCTCAGCCTACCGGTCCAGCTCTAGCAGCCATAAGTTACTACTGTGAATACCATTGCTTTAACTATGCGGATCTGTGATGTCTCTGCTCTTAACTTTTTTATCATCATTGCTTTCTGATTTTTTGGCTGTAGTCAGCGTCTGCTGTAATCTTTGCGCGCAGAAATACAAAAGTCTGTCACTGCCTACACTTTTCTCCCTTTGCCAATTATCAATCATGCTGGTTTCCATTTCTTTTAAATTTGAGTGCAACCCAGCTTTTGCACGTTCTTCTACGTCTAGTTAATTTTGTACGTTCTATTAGATCAATATTTTGTGACGTGCGAAAGGAAATGTTTTCATTAAAACGAGGAAACATTCGTAGTTTACTTCGAGCTCGTATATATGATTTTTACTTATTTAAAAATTGCGATACCGATATTTGTTGATTTACTGCCAGTTCCTCTTTGAATGTTCAAACATAAAATAATTGAAATTTTGTTTTTAAATCCATGCGAATAACGGAAGGTGTGTGTGTGAAAGGTGGGTTGTGACAGACAGTGACAACCTCGTCCCATTTCCTACCCGTCCCTCCTTTTAACCCTTCCATCCTGCCCACCCTCCTCCATTTATATATAGCCATCCTACCGATCAATTAAGCCGGCACTCTTATCTCTCCCAACGTTCTGACGGACTTAACATTTTTCCCCGTTTTCGTTCCACCGCCGGCCGACGGTTTTTATTTCCTCGCGGTAAACGCTTTTTGAAAAGGGATTGGCCGACACGGCCGGGATTTATGCTTCCGTACTCACGTCCGTCCTGAAATCCCATATGGACTTTGCAGAATATCCTCTCGAATCCGATTTAGCCCCGGGGCGACTATTGTCAGCTCTTAAATTACTGACCAACCCGTGGTTCCGTTTTCTGTCTTTACAAGAACCAAAAGCGATTTGACCAAAAATTACGCCATCACATAAATATCTACCATATATTACACGACATTAAAACAAAGTTGAATATTTTGAATATTGAACTTTTTTAATATTAAGGTGCCGAACACATTAACCAGATGGAAAAGCGACAAAAGGGTGGAAAAAAGAGAGTCGGAATGAGTTTCTCACCCCTTGAGAATACTATTTCTCCAACCTCCTTTCATTCTTTCCAATCCTAAGTCCCAGACTTCGTTGTCATTTGTGGAAATTCCTTCCTCTTTTTAAAAACAATATGCTACATTCCATGATGAGATTAATCTAATTACCATCTACTTAAAAAGATTCTCATTCCTTGGAATAAGTAATTAAGGATATTTATTTACAAATCGTGAGATGCGGTTTGGTGTGATGTAGGTTTCAGAAAAACATTTTCTTTATCGTGCCAACGTTTCGATCTTTATTGAGATCATCTTCAGGGCTCATAGTGTTTGTCTTCTGTGTAATTGTGCCATTCTTGCGTGTCGTGTGTGTGCCCGATTAATTAAGGATAGTTCTGTTCTTCAATTTTGGATTTTGCTGCATGTAAAATTTCCAACAGCAAGTAATAGTTCGAAGTTATTCATTTCGGTACCCCTTGTTTAAAAAAAAAAGCAGATATTTTAATATGTGTGTCTTCGCCATCCAGGTCGCTTTCAAAATTGTCAATGCCTGAAAAACTGTGGGCGAGGGGAGGTTAAGGCAAAGAGTTGTACACCCTTTAGAATATAAAGTATTCGATTCCCTCCCCGTTCATCCCCCTCGCTCTTTTCTGGGGGTGGAAAAAACACATCAATATTTTGTTCTCGGCTCGGTGTGTGAAGGTGGCATGGGGTGGCTCTTATGGGCGAGTGGCACTAGGTCGGAAATGGCTGGTCCTTTCCCACCCTCGATGCCACTGGATCTTATTATGATAAATTTTACGTTATGAACATTTTTTAATTGAAGGATAAAAAAGAAAAAAAATTTTTTTTAATATTTTAGAAATGTCATTGTACCATTGTACCTATGATCAGAGAAGAGGTTTTCATGAATATTTTTTGTAAACATTCATTTAATTTATTATATGGTATACCAAACAATATTGAAGTGTTTTAAAAAAATTTTAATGAATACTTACTCTAGAATTTTTAGAGATTTTTATCTTTGAGATTATTGCGGTGTTCAATATTTTTACGTTTATGAATTTTAAAAAATTAATATACATTGAGAATTATGAAAAATTTATTAAAAATGTGTGGTGTTTAGTGACCGTTAATTAATCGTTATTTGGAGATCGTGAGACTATACCACTATACACTATTATACCAGACCTCACGATCTCCAAATAATTTATAAAAAATATTTTAACAAACAGGTCCGGATAATCTGGAAGTCTGGATCGTTGGAGTCCTCCGGTTTCCACTGAATATTATATTTGTTTAATTGTGTATTTTTATTTGTAAGAACTGCGGGATGATCAACCTGTACTTTGGTCTTTACCAATCATTTCGGTCTGCTTTATCTCTTTGGGTTGGTCTGACAATGAGTATCATATTTGGTCATCTTCAGTGGGTCTTAATAACAGCCTGTGTGAAAGCCTAGCCTCATTACCTGTGTGAGATTTTGGGATTTCTTAGTTTGTTTTGTCTACCCCTGCTGGGTTGGACTGTCAGACACATTTCGACATTTCACCATTTTCAGTGTGTCTTCTTAATCATAACAGTCTGGCTAACTGTGTTAAATTGGAGATTTTTCTGCTTGGTTTGTTTGTCAATGTGTAATTTTGTCATCACCGACCATTTTGGCCTGCCTAAACTCATTGGGTTGGTATATCACACGTGTTTTAGCATTGCGCCGTCTGATTCATCGTAACATAGACTGGCTAGACGTATTAAATTGTGAAATAACTTTGTATAGTCTACAGGGTTAAAAACCTGTAATTTGATCATTACCATTCTCGTCTGCTTATCTTTGCCAGGTTGGTCATCAGATGCATTTCGGCAATTTGCCATTTTAAGGGTGTCTTAATAATAGCATCCTAACTTTCTTACCTCTGTTAAATTGTGAAATTTGTGTGGTGATTAGTGACCGTTAATTGATAATTATTCAGAAATCGTGAGATGCGGTCTGGTGTGATGTAGGTTTCAGAAAAACATTTTCTTTATCGTGCCAACGTTTCGATCTTTATTGAGATCATCTTCAGGGCTCAAAGTGTTTGTCTTCTGTGTATATATGTCATTCTTGTGTGTCGTGTTGAGAGTGCCCACGACACGCAAGAATGGTGCTTCCTTGCTGGGTCGAACTGTCAGATGCATTTCAGCATTTCGCCATCTTCAGTCGGGGTCTTATTAATCATATTAACATAACTTAGCCTTGCGAGCTGAGTTAAATTTTGAGATTTGTTTGCATGGTTTGTTAGTCAACGGGCCTGTAATTTGGTCGTGTTCGACCATTTTGGCCTGCCTATCCTCATTGGGTTAGTTTATCAGACATGTTTTGGCATTTCACCATCTTCAGTGTGTCTTATTCGTCAACATTGTCTGGTTAGACATCTTAAATTGTGAGATTTCTTTGTGTTGTTTACAGGGTCAAAAACTTATAATTGTCTGTTTATCTTCGCTGTGTTGGTCGTCAGATGGATTTAGGCAATTTTCCATTTTAGGTGTGTCTAATTAATCATAACAGTCTGGCGAGCGTGTTAAATTTTGAGATTTGTTTGCATGGTTTGTTGGTCAATAGGCCTGTAATTTGGTCATAATCGACCATTTTGGTCTGTCTATCCTCATTGGGTTGGTTTATCATGTTTTATCATTTCACTGACTTCAGTGTTACTTAGAGTAAGCTTGGCTAGCTTAAAATTTGAGATTTCTTTTGTGTGCTTTGCTGAGTGATGAACCTGTAATTTGGTCATCACCGATCATTTTGGCCTGCTTATTCTCGCTGGTTGGTCTATCAGATCAGTATCGGTATATTTGTCATTTTATGGGTGTCTTAATAATAACCTAGCCATTGAGTGTATTATATTTTTGTTTGCCAGAAAACAGCAAAGATAATTTTTTATGTTTTCATTGAATCAATAATTTAATTGATTTATCATTAAATAAACCAAAAGTTGTTTTCATTCTCTTAAAATCTTTAAACAAAATTCAGTGTAGACTGTCAGATATATTAAATTTTTAGGCAACGTCCACAATTTTATATAACTTAGCATTTTACATTTTATACATTTACATACATTTTACATAACAAGTCCTGATAATTTAAAATGTGTTATTTTAGCCCAAAAAATGTAACTTTTTCCAACTTACATTATTATTTTATACTATATGCTGTTCATTTAAATAATATAATGTTAATTTGTCCCCTTTCAGGACAGTGATGGTGAAAAAAGTGATCAAGAACTGGTTGTTGACGTTGCAAATGAGGTAAAGATTTGACAAACATTGTAAAATAATGTGAAACGATTTCTATTGTTTTTTTTTTCTTTAGGAGGGAAATTCTCCACAACAAAATGGTGAGCACATTAGCAGTGGAGATATTAGAGAGAATGGCTCTGAGAAGAGTGGAGTTGTTACAAACATTAAGGTTGAGAGGCCAAGGAGTAGAAGTGACTCGTTATCTAGTAATAGGAGTACACCTTCTATCAAAAGTAAAGATGTGAGTACCAATGAAAGTAGAAAAATTTTCATTAACCGGCTGGTAAACACACATATCAATTTTTAAAATAGTTGGACAAACCTGGTACGCCAGTATCAAAATCTAGTACCCCAACGGGTAGTAGTAGCGGTGGAGGTTGTGGTGGTGGAAGCAATGGAAGTGGTAAAGCTCCTCTAATCCCTGCAGCACCTCCTTCTCATTATCCCGTACCAAGAGCCGATCCTTTTTCACCTTATGCTCGAGCCGCAATGGTATATAATCAGCTTTTTTTTTATCAGCGTGCATATCCAGTCGAATGGTTTATAGTGTGATTATTTTCAGATGGGGTATGACTCTCATCCACACCCGAGGGTACCTGCGGTTGCTAGTAACGGCCTTGGTATTCCTGGCGGAAAACCGTAAGTATTTACACATCGATTTGTAAATTTGTTTTGAATTGCCAAGCTCATAGACCCTGTTGTCATGGGTTCAGTTCCCACTGCCCCCAGAAATTTCTGACCTCTTCCCTCCTCTGTTTATTGTTCATTCAACATTTTCTAGCTTATAAGGACAAACTTGGAATTTAAGTCCATCCAACCATTTTTTTTTTTTTTTAATTATAGTGACGATTTATTTTTGCCTGAATTCATTTTTCAAATGTTAAATATTTTAAACATTAAAGCATTTTTTTGTAATCATAATTCAGAATTATTTAGTTGAAGTGTTTTCTTTTGTTAATTGGTTGTTGTTTTTAGTTGAGAACCCACGACCTTCGGCTAGATACGCCGCTGCTCTACCACCTGAGCTATCGTGACTTCGATCCACTCGGACATCAACTCCCCATCTCAACCCCACCTTAAGAGTTTTCCCTCCTTTTGCCATTTTTCAAATGTCGTGTAATCGGTTTGGATTCTCGACGACAAGGAGGGAAAACTCGTAATGTGGGGTTGAGATGGGGAGTTGATGTCCGAGTGGATCGAGGTCACGATAGCTCAGGTGGTAGAGCAGCGTCGTATCTAGCCGAAGGTCGTGGGTTCGAATCCCTCTCGTGCCATTAACTTTTTTTCATCTCAACTAAAAACCTTAATTAATTGTAATGATTTAATTGGTCAAGTGGACCACGAAATTAGTGAATTTAATTATTTTATTGTTGTTTCAGGGCTTATTCTTTCCACATGAATGGTGGTGGACAGTTGGAGCCGGTGCCTTTTCCTACCGATGCTTTAGTCGGTCCGGGTATACCAAGGCATGCTAGGCAGATCAACTCCCTCGTGCATGGAGAGGTCGTCTGCGCGGTCACGATAAGCAATCCTACAAAATACGTCTACACGGGTGGAAAAGGATGTGTCAAAGTATGGGATATAAGCCAACCGGGCGCGAAAGCACCTGTTTCTCAATTGGACTGCCTTGTAAGTTTTCTTTTCTTAAATATGCAGTTTTATTTATTTGCTGACTTTGTTTTATTTTTTGATTTTAGCAAAGAGACAATTATATTAGGTCAGTTAAGTTATTACCTGACGCAAGAACACTGATAGTTGGCGGAGAAGCGAGTAACCTTAGCATTTGGGATTTGGCTTCTCCCACCCCTCGGATTAAAGCAGAATTAACGTCAAGCGCTCCTGCTTGTTATGCACTTGCCATCAGCCCAGATTCGAAGGTAATATGTCATATCTTCACCTGTTTTAAATTTTTGATTTAAAGGAATAATAATTACAAATGTACCATTTAAAACAATCAAATTATTTTGTGGGTTTTAGGTCTGTTTTAGTTGTTGCTCAGATGGAAACATAGCTGTCTGGGACCTCCAAAACCAAACCCTCGTTCGGCAATTTCAAGGTCACACTGATGGCGCTTCGTGCATCGACATTTCTGCCGATGGGACAAAACTCTGGACCGGCGGGCTTGATAACACTGTCAGGTCGTGGGATCTCCGCGAAGGCAGACAGCTCCACCAGCATGACTTCACATCGCAGATATTCTCGTTGGGCTACTGCCCCACTGGCGACTGGCTTGCTGTCGGCATGGAAAACTCAAACGTTGAAGTTCTTCATGCCGTAAAGTCAGACAAGTACCAATTACATCTCCATGAATCATGCGTTCTATCGTTGAGATTCGCTGCTTGTGGAAAGTGGTTTGTTTCGACGGGAAAGGACAACCTTCTAAATGCTTGGAGGACACCATATGGTGCTTCAATTTTCCAAGTGAGTAGACATGCATATCACATATAAACACTAAAAATGAAATAAAAAAGTCAGTGTCACGAGCGGGATTCGAACCCACGACCTCCGACTAGATACGCCTCTGCTCAACCACTTGAGCTATCGTGACCTCGATCCACTCGGACACTAACTTACCATCTCAACCCCACCTTTTGAATTTATCTCAACTAAAAACCTTAATTAATTGAAAGATATTAATTGGTCAAGCGGACCAAGAAAATTAGTGAATTAAAAATTAACATAAATTATCAGCAGGCAAGGCTCAGTCTTAACCACCGCGATCAGACCCTCCTAGACTCTAAGAAGGCAATAAAAAAATATAAAAAAAATGATTAAAAGAATGTGCCAGCATCAGTGGGCCAGATCGGCAGAGAAGCTATTACATATCAAGAGCATTATCTCTCAATAGGTGGTTCTGGGAGGATCATGACTCGTAGAAGAAGGGTCATCTTTACCTGATTAGGAACAAGCCATATGGATGATGTACGGCATGAAGAGCAAGGTTGCTCGATGTGTCTCACCTAGTTGAAGGGTGCAATTCCTTGGCTCCATACAAAAGTCGCACAGGAATGCCACCTGATGTGAGAATTGTGCTTGAGTACGGCAGCAAGTATCTGGATCTCCTGTTATGATTCTTGGAGTTGTTCTATTGTATATCTAGTTTGTGTTGAGAGGGAATGTATTTATTAGCGTGAATGATGTGAGAGAGTTGATGGTGGAATCGAGTATTCCATCGACTCTCAGAGATTATGTTAGTTGTGTAATATATTTAAATGGTGATTGGGTAAATATTGAGTATTCCATCACCCTAATTGAATAAAGGTAACAGTAAGGTTCCCGCATACTCGGTCATCTTATTCGGCCTTACCGGACGTTTTGATTCTCAAGATGAGAGCTGATGCACCTCCACATATGACAGAATAGTGTTACTGCCGCAGCATTAGTGTAGAGGCAGCTCAGCCCCAAAGGGACAAGACAACCTCGCTCCCCGCTTGTCCATTCCAAGTGGCTGGATCTGCATTGAGCACCAGACCATATGCCGCGCGCAAAGGATAACCAGACCGTCACCAGCCTGGTCACCCGCGCACTCCATATATAGAGAAGGCCACTCTATCTCCCAGAGTATTGGGGCTTCACCAGCGTCGAAACTTCCAGATCCGCTCCGGCCGCGGTTTCGTTTAAAGTGGAATTTCTAACCATCCCCTAGAGGAGAAAAACCTCCTGTCGAGCTCAGCCTACACCTGCCATGCACATTTGAGGGACGCCATAGGCTCACGCCTAGGTGGTCTGATCCTTCGCTTCCCCAAGGGTACCACGCCGGTTATACATACAACAATACAAAGCATACTCGAGTAGGAGAAACCGATTCACTACTCATTCCCAACTGCTTCTACTCACACATTCGAGGGACTATCGAGCATAATCATTGCTTCTTAACGCCTATACACTGCCATCCAATCCGCCGTATCCTGTGAGGCCTGGTGTATACCGGTGGTCATATGCAAGTTTCGTGCGAAGGTCACAGATAGAAGACAGCCTCTCAGTTCCCACCATGGGCGTCACCACAAGCCACCACGAATCCATTCCCAACGTAACATGGGCTGGATTTGGAACGTTTTGTTACCCCATAGTTCAGATGGTCGTGCACCCTCCCCCATCTTCGCAGACAGGATCTGGTACACTGACCCGCGTGTGCCTCTGATAAGGCACCCACCGCCCATGCCGACACGAGTACAGCTTGTACTTCAGAGAGGTTGTCACACCCTCTAGGCTGCACCATTATTTTGCGCCTGGATACCCTCCTTGTAACCAAGGGTTAGGAGGGGTCACAGGATAGAATGAAGGAACCTGGATTGAGAAAGGGCCGTGGACCAGGACTCGAGGTGAGCCGTTTCGGGGTCTCGAGCCTCAACCACACTATACCACCTGTCGTTGCCGCAGTGCCACATTGAAATAAATGGTAACAGCACCCTCCCTGAGCCCAACCTCGGTGACTGGACGGATAAGACCGAGATCTGCCTCCGGACTGCCAACCCAATCTCAAGTCTGCCGTCAATTTACAGCAAATAGTTAATTACACTCTGTCATTGACAGTAGAAATTTCAGCATAAGCTTTGCACCACCAGACATATTCTGCTGGCTCTTTTCCTGGCAATATCTGCAAGGCTCGTTTACATCACTCTATATGCCTCGAGTCTGCAGTGACCAGTTAGCATTCCAACATTCTAGTCCCAACACCCTAAATAGTTATGTCATTAGTTTCTACGATGGTCCTTCGATTACCTTTTTCACATGCTTTTCCTGGGGACATTCCCATTGAACGGTTATTTTTTAATCCAGGTCAATAGGCCTCATCCAACTTTCCTTAGCCAAAATGATCGGTCTCTTTGTAGCCCCCCTTGGTACACACCGACAAGGGTAATTTTATCATTTTCCCTAATGTTCGACAGGTCCCAAATGACTTTGGATGTTACTTCCAGTGTGGTAATTGCTGTCAGAGTCACCTGGTTGTCCGAATAGATAGTTATTCTTCGCTAAAACCTAAGCAAACCTACATTCAAAAGACAAATGACCTAGTGGTCGTAGAAGCAAGAATTACACCATTGTTTTTATTGTATATAACTGCAGTTGTCGCCAAAAAATAGGACAATGTATAAACAGTAAATAATAAATAAACGCATAATAGCGGTTCTACTGTATATATATTATTTTGTTGATTTAATTATATTTTGTGATAATAATTATGTAATTGTTTGGTTTCAGTCGAAGGAATCTTCATCAGTTTTAAGCTGCGATATATCTGCAGATGACAAGTACATTGTAACTGGATCAGGAGACAAGAAGGCCACAGTTTATGAAGTTATTTATTAGATATCGTGGGAAGTGTAAACCTACATTGTCGTTCCGACTCCCCACCGACTTGTACAAATTAGTGTTTACGCCCAGTGATAAATGGGAAAAAGAAACATTGAACCCTTTGCGATCTCTCTGCAGGAGGAAAATTTGGTGGAGACAAAAAAATAAATAAATAAAAAGATTTTATTATGTGAGAAAGCATGTTTGAACGGATTCTTTAAAAAAAAAAATGTGGGAAATATTTCAGTGTGGCTGTGTACATTTTTTTTTTAAGAGGAAGTATTTACGGAACTTGAAAGTCACAAGTTGAACAAGTGAAGAAGTGAGAAATATTATGTTTGAAATTTTAATTTTTGAATAAAAACTGCACAGTCTTTATTTTTTAATATTTTACTAGCCTAAATTCTATAGTTTAAAATTGTCAAAAGAAAAGAAGTGTTTAAGTATTTACAGTATGTAGTCTTTACGTTTATGAAAAATAAATTAATAAGCTTAAATATAAAAATGTTTGTATATTTTAATTTTTGTGATTTCACAATTTGTTAGTTCAATTTCTGTGATCTGCCGAATTTATAATAATGTGAAACCAGTTTTGTATTTAAGATCAAAAAGCAATTTATGTTTAATTCGTTGGCCGACATTCACCTTGAATATTTTAAAATATATATTTAATTAAGCTCATTATTGTTTAGCAAAATCTAGACAGAATACTTATTGAATATAATAAATGATGAATCTGGAAGGGTGCGAATAATAAAATTGTTATTCATTTAAATTGTTTTAAGGAAAACATCTTTTTGACGTTTCTAATTAAGCAATAACAGTGATTGTACATAGGAATTTAGGTTTAATAGCACTTATTTAGGTGTACTGTACTTAAAATTATAATGAAAAAAACAAAATAAACGGAGAAAATATTATTCTTAGGTGTTATCATTTGATTTCAAATTATAAATATATGTATACATATATATCAATTTTCCCTTTGAAATATTTGAGAAAAATTACAAAAAAAGATGGAAATTTTGATTTTTATTATAAACAATTTAAGCTTTTTAATTGTTAAAAGCTTTAGACTTTTTGACAAGGGATATGAACCAGGGGCATTCAAGTTTGTGACGGTGCAATATAATTGTGTTGAAGCAAATTTTCCTATCCCCGTTTTGGAAATAACAATAAAGGAGTTTCAAAAGTACGTATTTGGATGAATTTATACCCTTACCAAAAAAAAAAAAAAAAAAAAAAAAAAATCGAATACTATCCGCTTATAATTTATGATTAATGATTATAATTTACCATTGTAGAAGTTAAATTAACTCAGTTTATGATCAGTGTTCAAATCCATAATTTTTTATAATATCCATGTTTGTGTTAAGATTAAGACTTGATTTTGGTTTATCTATTGTTTTCTTACAGCTTAGACATTTTCCTGTCATACTGTCGTCCGTCCTATCAGTCTGTCAGAAGCCTTTCAGCATTTTACCATCTTCCATGGTGGGTTTAACAATATTAATCGCTATAAATAGTCTGAAATGGCAATTTTGTGCACAAATTATCCAAAAATTCTGTGTGGCAATGTAATTTGGTCGGTGCTGATACTTGGCCTAACTTTATTGGATTGACAGATGTGTTTGTCCATTTCACCATCTTCAGTTTGAAGTGACAGATCGAGCTCTGAAAATGATAAAATATTGGGGGTTCATATACATTCAATGAAGATGGCAAAAAGCTGAAAAACATCTGACAGACCAACACAATGAGGATTGGCACTTGTTGATCCGACTTTGTCATCCATACTCGTGCGGTTTTGATGTTACTGAAATGCGTTTCAGCTTTACACCATCTTCAGTAAGAAGAGCGCTGTGAAGGTGACAAAATGCTGAAGAAATGAAACAGATCAATACCGCAAGGATAAGTGAGTCGGCGACCACATGTCGATCCGACATTGGGTTCAACTACACTCACTCGGTTTCGACGTTTTCAAATGTGTTTCAGCTTTGTGCGATCTTCATGAGAAGAACCCAGTGAAGATGGAAAAATGCTGAAATAACATCTAACAGACCAATACGATGAGGATTGGCACTTGTTGATCCGACATTGTCATCCACACTCGTGCGGTTTTGATGTTACTGAAATGCGTTTCAGCTTTACACCATCTTCAGTGAGAAGAGCGCTGTGAAGGTGGCAAAATGCTGAAGAAATGAAACAGACCAATACCACAAGGATAAGTGAGTCGGCGACCACATGTCGATCCGACATTGGGTTCAACTACACTCATTCGGTTTCAACGTTTTCAAATGTGTTTCAGCTTTGTGTGATCTTCATGAGAAGAACCCAGTGAAGATGGAAAAATGCTGACATCTGGAAAAAAAATAACATCTAACAGACCAACACAATGAGGATTGGCACTTGTTGATCCGACATTGTGTTCAACCATATTTACAGGTAATTAATTAAGGTTTTTAGCTGAGATGAAAAAAACGTTAATGGCACGAGAGGGATTCGAACCCACGACCTTCAGCTAGATACGCCGCTGCTCTACCACCTGAGCTATCGTGACCTTGATCCACTCGGACATCAACTCTCCATGGCAAAAGGAGGGAAGATTCATAAGGTGGGGAGTTGATGTCCGAGTGGATCGAGGTCACGATAGCTCAGGTGGTAGAGCAGCGGCATATCTAGCCGAAGGTCGTGGGTTCGAATCCCTCTCGTGCCATTAACTTTTTCTCATCTCAGCTAAAAACCTTAATTAATTGTAAAGTATTAATTGGTCAAGCGGACCACGAAATTAGTGAACATATTTACAGGGTTTTGATGCTACTCCAATGCGTTTCAACTTTGCAACATGTTCAGTGAGCAGAACGCAATGAAGATGGCAAATTGCTGAAAAAATGTAACAGACCAACACCGCGAGGATAAGCCAGTCGGTGGCCACATGTTGATCCGACAGTGGGTTCAACTCTGATTCGATTTTGAAGTTTTCAAATGCATTTCTGCTTTACACAATCTTCAATGAGAAGAACCCAATGAAGATGACAAAATGTTGAAATAGTCTGACAGACCAACACAACAAGGATGATGAGTTAGTGGGCATGTGTTGATCAGACATTGTGTTCATCCATACTCACAGGGTTGTTTTTTTGTAGTCAAAGGTGCTATAGATTTGCGTCATGTTCAGTGAGCAGAACACAATGAAGATGGTAAAATTATGAAAAAATTTGACTAACCACCACCGCGAGGATACAGTGACCACATGTAGATCAGACATTCCGTTCATCCACACTCGTGGGGTTTTCTACTCACATGCATTTCAGCTTTGCGCTATCTTCAATATGAAGAACCCAATGAAGATGGCAAAATGCTGAAAAATGTCTTGACAGACCAACACAGAGGAAAGAAGAGCCAGTAAACACAAGTTGATCCGATTGGGTTCAACTACACTCACTGGATTTTGATGTTTTTCATATGTGGTGCAGTTTTGCGCCATCTTCAATGAGAACTCAATGAATTCAGACTAACACAGTGAGGAGAGGCAGACAAGTATGACTGTTACTGACCAAATTACAGAATTTGTGTATGCCTGTCAGTGACGATCATAAACCATTTGCAATGCTCATACATTATCAACTGCCCTCTAGACGACTCAAGCCCTTGATCATGATGATGAAGGAATGGTTGTACTCTCCAAGCACTGCAGCCTTGTTGCTTACTTCTCTTTTCCTAGTTCAGTTCAATTGACTCGGTTCTTTTAAGATGTAAGTCATGGCTTCCATTTGTTTCCCAGGTCTTCTTGGTACACTAGGTTATGTCTTCATCGAGTAGTTACTTCACTTTTGAAGATTTAGTTGGCAGTTTCTTCCTCCTCTTACATGCCACTCTGTCTAGATTGGCTCCTTCAATCACACACCTCGGTGTCTCATATCCCTTTCTTCAGCTCCTCAAACATCCCAATCATGTCTCCCCAAAGTTTTCCTATGATACTTATGCTCTCAGTAAAGTTTTTCCCTTTCAGATATACCCAGATCTTCTTGGTCAAATAACTCCAAAGAAGTACTCTCGTTTCTCCTTGTCCTGGCTTCGATGCAAGTCAGACTGGTTGGTGCTGATTCCTTTATGAGTTCTTCAGCAGTGAATTTTTATTCTGCCCTTAAAATCAATAGCGTTTCTTCTTCTTCCCAACCATTGGCAGTTTCCGCTACCTGGAATTTTTATTTAAAGTTTGGACTTCATCGTGCAAAAAGGGATAACTATTTTGGGTTTGACTAGGTCGCACTTTACATTTCATTTCACCAACTTCCCCGTGTATACTCCTCTCATAGAGGCTGGACCCAGATCACAATAACATACTTTTACTAAGCCCATAGAGGTAGGCAGTTTTAACAATCGTCTTTATTAACCTGATTATAACTCCTTACCAATGGGCCAGAGCCCGTCAAGTCCCATGAAAATCCCCCACACCCAGCACTTAGCTCTATAGTGAATAATATAAAAAATAATAAATAGAACTGATATTTTAGTTCACATGTAACCCGTAAAAACACATTGCATATGCTAATAAAATTTGAATGAAATTAATTAAAAAGGTTCAAGAAAGAAGTCAAACGACAATTCTTTATTTTACAAATTTTGAAAACATAATAATAATATAATATTATACAATAGGGCAATAAATTATATTAACCTTTAATGCATAAGAATAGCATAATATTTCACGACTGTGTATAAAAAGAATCGACAAAAATAAAATTAATTAAATACAAAAAGTAGTTTTTCTAAGAAAATGAAAATAAATCAAAGCATCAGTCTTTCAAATTCAACAAGCAGTATACATACACAGAAATTAAAAAATATTTATTTTACATAGACTAGCGATAAAAACACAGTGACATAGTGCAAATAAGAAAAGTTAAATTTATTGTCTGTGTTATAGGTTTAAGAGATATGAGGAGGAAAAAATACCTCAGTCCATTTAGGTCTGCTCAGAAGACTTGCATAAACAATAAAAGAAAAACATTATGCATTATTTTATAATGAATGAATAATTTATTTATTATAATATAAAAATTGGTTGTAGCAAAAACATCATTCTATTCGGTTCTTTATTTTGGTTGACTATATTTTTACCATGTTTTAACATTAATATTTTTTTAAATATTACATGCTTGAATAAAATGACAAAATACATCAATGTGATAACATTTTTACTACATTTTAAAACTTTTTGGTAGTGCTCGGTATTGAAGAAACTCCGTGAATACATATCACAAACCACTCATCCTGCTTATTAAATAATTGTATGGAATTCTTTTGCCTAAAAAACAAAATGCGAAAATACAAATGCAAATACAATATAAAAAAAAGTAAGCACTACTCAATAGCCTGAGTATTGGGCACTTAGGATGTTATGAGACAGGCTTGAATCTTTGGAAAGGAATAGAAACGTGCAGGATAAAGGTTTTCTAGCTTGATGGTTTGTGTAAAGGTGGCCATTCACGATCGCTCCAAATGGCACCGAGGCGATAGTTCCTGAAATTTGAGGGGGCATTCACAACCGCTCCACAGCCAGTCGCTCCGATCGTCTAGTGAATTACTTCCTCAAATGGATGACGATCTCTTGTGCTACGCTGCTATTTGTTTATATATAAAAAGCAATAAACCGAAGAGGAAATGGTGTAAGAATTGGCCCCTGAACAGAACCCCTAATACCCACATCGATTTGATTAAAGATCTTTGAACTCGCTGATTGGAGGAACTATTTAAGGATGGATGAAACGTCTTATTTATATTTACTCCAGCTTGTTACCCCCTTGATTAGAAAACAAAACCCAGTCAGAGAAATCATCACATGAAAGGTTGGCAGCCACATTACGACTTCTACAGGGATGAACTACGAAGAACTTAAGTTTTCTCTACTACGATTTCTGCTCAGTGCTTATCAATACCGCATCTCTCGTTGCATTGTATCCTTTGTTTTGAAAAGTCTGGTCGAAGACTGAATTTCTTTTATTTCTATCGTAGTAATCGTTGTCTACCACTTTCCATAAACATGGTAAACTTTTGTACAATTCAATCACCTGAACAATAAAATCTCGATTGGATGTCATTGCCAATAAAGTATAAACATTTTTGACATTTTGAGAATTTACGATGGAGATGTTTGCTCAGTGACAGAAAGACGGAGACTGCACAAAAAAAAAAAAAAATTGGATTGGCATGATGGAGTTTGGACCGGTCAAATATTCGGCACAGCCCGGCACGCCAGTCCAGTTTTGACCACTGACGTGGTTTTGGAACGGAGTCGCTCTGTACTTCTTGTAGCTTTATTTGGCTGCTTCAAGGATATATGCTTCGTAGGATTTCTGGTAGACGGTTTTTATCTACGCTGTTATTTTATATTATGGCATATTAAATTCACTAATTTCGTGGTCCGCTTGACAAATTAATATATTACAATTAATTAAGGTTTTTAGTTGAGATAAAAAAGTCAATGGCACGAGCGGGATTCGAANGTATCAAGCCGAAGATCGTGGGTTCGAATCCCGCTCGTGCCATTGACTTTTTTATCTCAACTAAAAACCTTAATTAATTGTAATATATTAATTGGTCAAACGGACCACGAAATTAGGGAATTAAAAATAAATTCACTATTTTCGTGGCCCGCTTGACCAAATATATCTTTCAATTAATTAATCTGTTTTTAAGGTCTTGGTTGAGATGGCAAAAAGAACGAAAAATTCAAAAGGTGGGGTTCAGATGGGAAGTTAGTGTCCGAGTGGATCGAGGTCACGATAGCTCAAGTGGTAGAGCAGCGGCGTATCTAGCCGAAGATCGTGGGTTCGAGTCCCGCTCGTGACTCTGACTTTTTTATCTCAACTAAAAACCTTAATTAATTGTAATATATTAATTGGTCAAGCAGACCACAAAATTAGTGAATTTAATGAATTTAAATGAAGTATACTTCATTAAAGCTCTCCGTGGCCATTTCATTTGTCGTTGAGAATCCAATCCGATTACACGACATTGGAAAAATGGCAAAAAGGAGGGAAAATTCAAAAGGTGGGGTTGAGATGGAAAGTTAGAGTCCGAGTGGATCGAAGTCACGATAGCTCAAGTGGTAGAGTAACGGCGTATCTAGCCGAAGGTCGTATGTTCGAATCCCGCTCGTGCCATTGACTTTTTTATCTCAACTAAAAACCTTAATTAATTATGGCATATATTTTTGTTTTGTAAACATTTTGTATTAATAAAGCATTTATTATTATTCCTAGAGAACTGATTAAAGGCACATGCAGCATATTGGAGGATTAACAATGTACAGGAAAAAGACTAAAAAATAAAAAGAACTTAATAGGTAGTGAAATCACCATTGCAGAGGATATAGAATTGAGTAAGAGAGAGAATTAGGGAGCAAATGCCAGAAATGAAGAAGGCCAGAGAGGAGGTAAAAATGGCTTTTTTTCATCTCAGATCGGCTAGTAATAAAAGAATACCCGAAAAGGGAAAGAGAAATAATGAACTCACCAACCCCAACAAAGCAAAATATAACAATGAAAAAATATATGAAATTAGTAGGCCAAAAAAGTGAGAATCAAAATTCAATTAAGGCCTACATGAACAAACAGTAGATAAGCTCACTTAGCAATGAATGGACAACATAGCTTCTAAGGAAAGACCCACAACTGAAAATGGAAACAACACACAAATAATTAAAAATAGTAAGGATAGAATAGTTTCCCAGAACGACTGATCACCCCCCAGACCGAGGGAAACTGAAACCACATCCTCCCACTCCCAAAAATAATTTAAAAATTGGAACATTAAATTTAAGATCGTTAAGAAATGAAGATAAACTGATAGTTAGAAAATGCAATGAATGAAAAAGACATAGATATCCAGGGAAAAATTTTAAAACTCAAATCAGGTTAGACATTTGCATATTCAGGTAAACAATTTGGTACCCTTGGAGTTGGATTGCTAATGGGAAAAGAGAGAGGCCTTCGCTCTAAATAGGGCCAGTTTATAAATGACTATGACTTGGAAGAAGAGGTAGAAGGGAAGAAAGAGAAGGAAAAAAGAAGAAGAAGAAAAAACTAAAAGAAAATCAATAATTTTTTTCTCTGTTTCAATTATGTACATATTACAATTAATTAAGGTTTTTAGTTGAGATAAAAAAGTCAATGGCACGAGCGGGATTCTTACCCACGACCTTCGGCTACGGCTACTTCGCCGCTGCTCTACCACTTGAGCTATCGTGACCTCGATCCACCCGGACACTAACTTCCCACCTCAACCCCACCTTTTGAATTTTCCCTCCTTTTTGCCATTTTTCAAATGTCGTGTAATCGTATGTACATATTATAAACCAATAAAAAAAGGCTTATTTATTATTATTATTCATAGGGGGATTACGGCTACAGTGTAATGGCACTTCTAAATAGTATGGGAACATCTGATCCCAAACTGGTTGTAGGAATAAGGTTACAGGAATTTACCCCATTGTGGGCAATAGACTATTTGGATAATGTAGTACAGTGCAGTATAATTAATATTTTTGGATAATGTATGTACAGTAGAATAATGGAAGGGTCAAACTATATCCAGACTTTTAAAATAATTAAAAGTGTAATTTACTACTCACACAAAATTATCCGTAAATATTGAAGTACTTCACTCAGCTTTCTTTGAATGGTTTTTCTCTTTCATACACCTCATGACTATTCGATCGAATGATATCAAATACGCACCACCTACGATCCTGAATATGCCCATCAATAGGCTCTGAAAAATATGAAAATTGTCAGCGAGTCGAACACATGTTGATCCGGCACTGGTTCCATCTACACTCGTGGCATTTTGATGTTATTCAAGTGCGTTTAGGCTTTGTGCCATCTTCAGTGAGAACACAATGAACAAAACTGAAACATGTTTGAGTAACTAAACTCCACAAATGTAGAATGACCCAGTGCCGGTTCAAAATTTACAATATTTCAAGCTTGATTTTCTAATATGACACTTACCTCAAGAAGCAAATGGAAAAATGAACTATACGGCGACATCCCGGCGCAGAGTACGTACATCATGAACCCTTCAAAATTGTACGAACTGATGAAATAACCAGCCTATAAATTTGAATTCGACTTTTATAAAAACTGCATAAATGAAACGAGGAGAAAATGAACCTTACAAGTGTATCATTCATTAATTTTAATGCGATTTCGGCAGGCGAGTAAAGTCCGGATGTTTGCGAAATGAGCCTGGTCTCTTTTGGCTTGCTCTTTTCTTCTTCGGCAAAGCCTGGTGTGTCGGTATCAGGAGGGAAAGAAATTGTCACTTTGATTCCATGCGCTTTCACCTAACAATAAGCAAAAATGATTCACATTTGTAAAATAAATTGAACTTTTTTACTCACTTCCATATTAAGTGCCTCAGCAAAGCCTCTGAGGGCAAATTTTGAAGCGCTGTAAGCACTTAAACCAAAAATGCCAATCTGTGCAGCCTGGGAAGCCACAAACACAATATAACCCTCTCCTCTTGCCTTCATGCCTTCTATGACAGCTTTTGTCGGGAAAATACTCCCGAGACAATTGAGATCAAACATTTTCTAAAGAAAAATTTATTTTAACATTTTCTAACAAATAAGAAAAATAAAAATTACTTTTATATCAGCTTTAGACAAATCTTCAAGTTTTCCGCAGACAGCACTTCCAGCACAATTGACGAGCATGTATATCGGGCCGACTTCCTGTTCAATCTCAACAAACGCTTTGTCAACTTTGTCAAAATTAGAGCTGACATCCACTGCAACATTTTCCAAAAGAATTATTTTAAAAAGAGATTCGTTTTTATTATTTGAAAATTTATCCGTACAAGAGTAGGTGTGAATCCTTTGACTCGAGTTGACACAGTGCTTTGCGATTTCATTCTTGGCCGCCACTAATTTTATCTTATCCCTTGCAATTATTGTCACATTTGCTCCTCTTTTTGCAGCCTCACATGCTACGCCTTTTCCGATTCCACTTGAACCTCCTGTTATCTGAAACACCATCCAAAGTACATAGAAAACATGTTAACTTTTGAAGGTAATAAGTAGTAATGAGAGCAGTGACATGAAAAAAAACATGAATGTAATTGTCTCAATCTTGTTCGCTCGTCCCACTATGGGCCATCCATGGATCAACATATCCAAAGTGTCATAAATCTATTTGATTCCATATCGACAGGAAAAAAATTAAACGTAGCAACCCACCGTTAAAAACTCAAAAGCCAGGTTACATCTCAAAAATATAAGATTGCGCATTTGGTAGTATTGGATAAGTGTTCTTTATTTTGAGCTTTTTTCACGCAATGAAAACCATTAAGTGTATACTGCACATAACCAGACCAATTAAAGTTAAATTGACCAAAAACAACCGGTATTGGCAAATCACAAGCGACAATTTCCACCAGCACACCAGAAAATGTTGGAGCTTAACTCAGGTAGCAAATCACTGACATCGTCCCTTCAGATTTTATTTCGCGCTCTGCAAAATTCTATTAACATGCAAAACTCTACTCCATTTGAGAACTGTAGAAAATAGTTCATCGCTAAAAACCTGAGCAGTTCTAGGTCAGAATCAGAAAATTTTGAAAGATGACAAAAGATGGTTAAAAATGGTTCATACATATTTAATTAAATTTATTTATAAGTATCTGAAATTTTCATTGAATTTATTGTATATAAAAAATACAGGCTTATTTATGACTCAATACAAAAACCTGGTAAAAATTACCAATGCCGTGAACCAATATAAACCGATTAGTAAGTATTTCCTGGAATATTTTTGTTTCTTTTATGAATTAAACAATTCTCAGGGGTAAGGAGTACTTTCCTATTAAAGTTTGCTTATGGGTTTATATTGATTCACATCATTGGTCTTTTGGCTAGGTTTTTGTATCAAGTCATAAATAAGTCTGTAGTGGTTAAAAAAAAAAATAAATTCAAAGATTATTCGGAAATCATGAGATATGGTCTGGTGTGATGTAGGTTTCAGAAAAACATTTTCTTTATCGTGCTGACGTTTCGATCTTTATTGAGATCTTTCTCAGGGCCTGGGATTAATAAACATTGTTGAAATTTTACAAATACATGTAGGATGTGAAAAAAAAATTAATTTATACAATGCTAGAAAATTTTTAGATTCAATCAAAGTATTTGTGCTCACTCAAAGTGTTTTTCTTCGTAATTGTGCCATTCTTGTGTGGCGTGTTGAGAGTGCCAGTGAGATATTGCTGTTTTATGTTTATAAATGGCACAATTACGCAGAAAACAAACATTTTGAGTGAGTACAAATATTTGATTGAATCTAAAAATTTTCAAGCATTGTATGAATTCATTTCTTTTTAATCTAAAATTTTCTATCATTGTATAAATTCATTTCTATTTAATCTAAAATTTTCTAGCATTGTATAAATTCATTTCTTTTTAATCTAAAATTTTCTAGCATTGTATAAATTCATTTCTTTTCACGTACATGTATTTGTAAAATTTCAACAATATTTGTAAATCCCAGGCCCTGAAGATGATCTTAATAAAGATCGAAACGTTGGCACGATAAAAAAAATGTTTCTCTAAAACCTACATCACACCAGACCACATCTCACGATTTCCAAATAATCATCGTCACTAATCACTAGAGAAAATAAATTCAAAGATAATATTGCTTCATATATACATTATATTTAATTAAATTTGTTCTTAAATTTGTCCAAAGAATCACCACGCTTTTAAGAAAATAAAATAAATATTTTACTCAAACATATTGTTTCAACAAAGAAAACATTGTTTTTGTATTTAACCAATTAAATTCGATAAGTTGGCTCTGGAAAGGATGAAATTGAACTGATTTTCTTTGTTAATCTAAAAAGGTAAAAGGATTAGCAACACAGTAAAAATTTTTTACCAAAAATGTTTCTTCAAAAACAATAAAGAAAATTACAATTAATTAAGGTTTTTAGTTGAGATAAAAAAGACAATGGCACAAGCGGGATTCGAACCCACGATCTTCGGCTTGATACGCCGCTGCTCTACCACTTGAGCTATCGTGACCTCGATCCACTCGGACACCAACCTCCCATCTCAACCAAACCTTTTGAATTTTCCCTCCTTTTTGCCATTTCTCAAATGTCGTGTAATCAATTTGATTCTCGGCGACAAATGAAATCACCACGGAGAGCTTTAGTGAAGTATACTTCATTTTAAATCATTAAATTCACTAATTTCGTGGTCCGCTTGACCAATTAATATATTACAATTAATTAAGGTTTTTAGTTGAGATAAAAAAGTCAATGGCACGAGCGGGATTCGAACCCACGATCTTCGGCTTGATACGCCGCTGCTCTACCACTTGAGCTATCGTGACCTCGATCCACTCGGACACCAACTTCCCACCTTTTGAATTTTCCCTCCTTTTTGCCATTTTTCAATTACCTCAAACCTTAATTAATTGTAATATGTTAATTGTTCTAGCAGACCACGAAATTAGTGAATTTAAGGAATTAAATAAAGAAAATATTCAATTCAGTTTGGAGTATTTCCTCCTTTTGTGTTTATCACCGCTTGCATTCAACGTGGCATTGATATTATGAGGTTTAGAATGTAGTGCTGTTGAATATTTTCATATTCCTCCATTCTTGATTCCTGCAAATTCTCTGGCACCACTGAGTGACTTTTTACCCTTTTTGACAACTTTTCAAAGGTGTTCGGTAAGGTTTAAGTCGACATGCTGCCCACTCCAAACTTTGAATTGAAGCCTGTTCCAAGTAGTCACCAACGATCCTATTTTATTATATCTTCATTATATCGTGAAGTGTTAGGGGCCTCAAAGATCAAGTTAGTGCGACCTTCCATAGAAATGCCTGCACTATCCATAACACCACCACCTCAATAACTTCTCCGGAGTGAAAATTTTGAGGGGATCGCTATTCTGTTTTCTTTAAACCCTCTCTTGGCCCCTTCTCCACAAGGGTATATTCAATAGGAGAGGTGGTCAGGATCTCGGGTTACGCCCACTTTGCCCCATTAGTCCACCCGCCCCAGTCTGTATTTGCTACTGTTCTTCAGGCAACTACTGTCCCCAGGGGCTTCACGAGCTCACCTTTTCAGGAGCCCGCTCCACCCCAAAATTCCAACTGCCCCGATCGGTATATGCTACTTCTTCAGTGAATGTACAGGTCGCGATCCTTTTTTTTGTTCGGTCTCCAAAGAGGCCAAAAAAAGGCAAGAGATCGTAGGAATGGGAGAAGTTATGAGTGACATGACACCCCATCCACTACCCCTTACATAATCAAGGGACTCTGTTGATGCAGTCTTTGCGTCCTCGTCTTCCTTCGTCCAAACATTCCGTATGCACGTGAGGTGCATCGAAGGTCATACGCACAGGTATAAGTGGATGACCACCGCTTGATCTGAACAGCGGTACAATATTGATTACGGAAGTGACTGATCCATGCTTTCTTTGACCACCTCCAGAATCTTGTTATCAATAGAAGACCTTTCGGACAGTTTTTCTAGGAATGTTAAGCACCCTGGACAACTTCTTGGTCTTGACTTCTTCCGTCTTCCAACAATGCTATGATTCTAGCCGAATCTGTGTAACTTAAAACCATCACTCAAACAAATTTAAACTTTAAAAATGGTGCAACTTAAAAAAACAAAAAATCAAACCAATGTAACATTAGAAATAAGCTTTATAATCAAAAACCCAACAAAGAAGAGATTTACTGTTTGAAGTTTTATTTACAAAATCCAATTTTAAACACAAGTAAGAGATTTTATCTGTGTTTTATTTACCTCTAATCCTTTAAAACGAACCAAATTTTATTGTAACATAATCAATAGATGATTGTCTAAGAGATAGCTAAAAATATTAAGGGTGGCCATTTTTTTTTTCTTCTTAGCAGTTATTATGAATGACTATTGTCTTTGAGTGTACAATAGTTTTTTTGTTTATTGTGCTTATCAATCATGATTTGTTTTGACAAAAATAAGTAATAGTAATATTATAAATCCCACTTCCCTACCTGAAACAACCTCTCTCCTTATGCCATCTTCTCACACTATCTCTAATTACTATACCTCATTAGAGACATTTTACAATAACAAAAAATATAAATGATATATGTAAAAATACAAATAATATATATAAAAAGAATAAGGACGTATATACATGGTAATAATATAAATGGTAAATATAAATGATAAATATAAAAATACAATTAAAGAGTAAAAACTGAACAACAAAAATGAAAGACATAATTACTAACCAAATAAGGCAGAGGAAACAAAATAAAGCTGAAAGACAATTGAAACTACAATAATTAGGTACATATTTAATGAAAATAAT